ACCTTCATCGCCAGCCTCGAAGCGCACCTCTCGTGGTCCCAGCCCAACACTTTTCGTATCATCGCCTCTTCGCCCTTCGCCAACCCGATCTATACATAATGGCTCTGATTCGGAGGTTGACATCCCTGCCCTCAAATCCGATCGCTTTAAAGCGATGCTGGAGCGCCGCAGACAAAAGAGGCGTGACGAAGATGCCACTAAAGAAGCAACAGAGGCCGCAAAACGGGCAAAGCAACAGAAAGTCGCCCAGGAGATGGAAGAGATGGTCTCGGATGACGATAACTCAGGTATCACCGACGATGAAGGCGGCCGACGGCTAACACAGGCCGAGCGACCCAGTGCTCGTAAAGCCAGCAAGAAGGCCATCGAAGAGATGAAGAGAGAAACTCAGAGAATGTCGAGAAATATGCAGTTGGCACATGAAGCCAAGACACGAAAGAAGATCACCAAGAACAGTTTGTTTGAGCGTTTCAACTTTCGCCCGGCAGGTGAACCAGAACCAGATGTTGCCAGCTCGAGTAGGGTCCCGACACCACACAGCGATGTTGAGATGCAGGGTATCGATACACCACCGAGTTCCCCCCCAGTTTCTAAAGAGACTGCCACCGCCGTTACAGATCCAGAAACTACTGCTGGTGACGATGAATTCGACTTGCCAACTATAGACAGCCTGGCTGAGACAACCAGACTCAAACCAGATAAAGGAAAGGAAAAGGCTGTGGAAACTCGAACCGAACAGGAACAGCCCGTGCAAAATCCGAGGCGCCAATTTCGAGTCAAGCTTCCACCTATGAAAGCCAATATGACCATGGTAGATTCGGATGATGAGTTAGAAATTACAACCACCACCAAGGACAAGATTCGAGCTGTATTCGACATGGCGCCAGCAAAGAAAGCACAAGAACACAGTTCCGTTCAAGCATTACGCGCCCTGGCCCAACTAAAATCTCCCGGCAAAGAGACAAGGCGAAAGAACGAAAATCACGGCATGACAGCAGGAGAACTCCAGGCCTATCTGTATCAGAGGGCTCGACAGCAAGCTAAGGTAGAGCGTGACCGCAGAGTTGATCTGCTCAAGGCTCAAGGTGTCGTTGTTCAGACCGCTGAAGAGCGTGAGCGTCAAATGCAAGACGCTGAGGACATTGTCGCTAGGGCAAGGGTGGAGGCACAGATGATCAGGCAAAAAGAGAAAGCAGCCGCCAAGAAGGAAGCGAAGGAGAATGGCGAAGTTGACCCCTTGGCTTGGGATGACAGCGAGGACGACGAGTATCAGGCATCTGGAAACGAAGCTGACGGAGAAGGATCAGTTGTTGAGTTGTCCGGATCTGAGGACGAGGAGGAACTCAGTGACGATGAGCAAACAGATGGCAATAACATGGTCGAAGTCGAGGCTCGAGATGGAGAGTCTGAAGCCTCTGCTGATGAGAATGACAATGCAACTCTTATTGCCAGTCAAGATGTTCAAGACAATATAGAAGAGTTCCCTGCTACGAGATATCGACGATTGCGAAAGCCTATTGTTCTTTCCGACGAGGAGGAGGAGGACACAGTCGAAAGGACACCGAGACCAAACACTACTGTCCACATGTCACCAACAGTCCCAAACACCCAATCTCCAACTGCACCTAGATCAGTCCTCCGTTCAGCAAAGAAGAACTTTATCCCTGGTTTGCCGGTACAAGGGCCGGCCGGTCTCGGTCTCACGCAAATTTTCGCCGGTACCATGGACGACAGCCAAATGGATTCTGCAGATGGCCCAACCCAATCCCTGATGCCCGATTTCGATCATTTCCCCGACTCCAACTTCTCTGCGACCATGGACGAGCCCATGGAGGACATGATCGTGGACAGTCAAAAGAATGACAGCCAAAGGAATGCTCAAGACATCGCTCTCGACCTTTCTCAGTCTCAAATGCGCGGCCTGGACAGCTTGCTTCGGGAAGAGAGCACTCAAATCTCCGAAATGATTGATTTCACTCAGGATGGTGGGCTCCAAGACCAAACACCCTTAAAGAACAGATTTATCGAGGCACCAGTTTCGACTACAGAGACTATGTTGGTTGATCACGACGACCCGACCCAAGCTTCGCCACTCGTCCGCCGTGGCCGCCTTCGCCGCAGAATAGAGACATCTCAACGCATTCAGGAAACACCAGAGCCGGCATCTGCAGACAAGACTGATAATGTTTTTGAAGCGCTGAGGGAGGGTGCCAAGAACGAACATAAGAAACGGCTCCAACCCGAGTTTGATCACAAGAACAGCAAGGCAAAAGAGATGGTTCAGGAGCAAGCTGAGGAATCCGAAGATGAATATGCTGGGCTGGGTGGTGCAGATGGCGAGGACAGTGACAATGAATCTGCCGCTTCACTCAAAGACATTATAGACGACACTGCTAGTAACGACATTGATGGAGCCAAACTCGCTGCTTTATATGCGTAGGTGCTACATCCCGAATCAATTACATCAAGACTGACATTCCATAGCGCTCGAGAACAGGCAGAAGATGAGAAGCAGGTGGAGAAGCTTTTCAAGGACATCACGACTGGCATGCTTCGCCGTAAACGAGGTGCAGGCTACGACCTTGATGATTCAGATGATGATGGCGAGGCTCGCCGTCGAATGAAGCGTCGACAGTTTGCTAAAATGCAGAAAGCTCTATTTTCCGACGAGCGTGTCAAGAAGATAGCCGAGAACCCTGGAAATCAGGCCTTCTTACGAACGATCGAGGATCGTGGCAGTGATGATGAAATGGACTTTTTGGATGCACCAGAGGAGATTGTTGAGTCCTCACAGTCCCAGTCTCAGGATGAAAGCAGCGAGGCTCAGACCGTTCCTGACAGCCAACCTCAGAAGGTTCTCGGCCCTGCGGGTAACAGGGTCCCTGGCTATCTGCGTAGGACCAAGGATGGCAAGAAGCCCTCCAACATTGGTGAAGTTCGCGAAACTTTATCCGATCTGTTGGAAGAACCCCATGGTTCAGTTATCCCTGCAACTGAAGTCGGTTCAGACAGTGAAGGTGAAGACAATACTATCATAGAAACTCGCAGCGACAAGGAGAACGGTACCTCCAACCCCCGCCGTGGCCGTGTTGCTGTCGTTGATCGCATCAGTTTAAAACGCAATGGTTCTTCAAACGTTAGCACTGGCCGCCTCGCCTTTGCAACAGCATCAAACTCCTCATTCAAAGTCCCTGCTCTGCTTCGCCGTGCTACTACAAATTCATTTGTATCTGGTACAGTCTCTACCACAAGCTCTGGTTCACCAGCGCCGGCGAGCGGATTTGGTGAGGAGGCTAAGATCAAGAAGGGAGCCAGCAAGAAGAGCGGTGTACATGCTTTCGCTCGTGACAGCGAGAGACGAGCAAAGCTGGAGCAGAATGAGCGAAAGAGAGAAGAAAGAAAGATTAAAGGAGCAGAGAAGAGAGTGGGAGTCGTAGGTGACTTATTGGGTAAGGGCTCGTTTGAATAAGCTGGCGCAGAGTGGAATTCGTTCTTTGATTTGGTTCATGTATGTTAGGGTTGAAAAATTAACATGGGATGGCGCGGAGTTGGGATGGACAATACATGATATCGTAGCGATACTATAACTAAGGTGTTAAATATAGCATTTAATTTGTTGAGCCGTTTGCATCGTTGGTCTACCATCCGCACTTGGTTATCTCAAATAACATCGCCTCTGGAGGTATACCGACTCAAGCTTATGTATGAATATCTGACTCCTGGGTCACTGCTTCTACAGCAGAACTTTCTGCGAGAGGAGAAGGAAGACCACCATTGTCCATAACACAAGACTTGAGCGACTGAAGCTGCTGAAGTGGTGATTCTGCCCAGGACCGAACCAGGGCCGTCTCAGTGAACGAGATGCCACAACTAACTCGCACAGAAGCGTCACCTCTACTGCATAATCATAAAGGAGGCCTTCTATATGTAGCATAGCCAGTTCTGTTTGTCTGGATTACCAACTCAAGTTTCGTATTGATTACTTTCAGCCCTACATTCTACTACTATTGCCGTCCTTGGATTTCGGATCGGTACAATGAGCCGCCTATGCCTCGCTCAACTTACAAGAGCATAGGTTCCGTGGTCTAGTTGGTTATGGCATCTCGTTAACACCGAGAAGGTCCCCGGTTCGATCCCGGGCGGAACCACCATTTTTGCAGCTCCAGTCCTCTCTGTTCGTTAACTTGAAGTCATCCTAGCCCTCGTTGGAACTCATTCAGTAATTGATCTGGTAGAACCACCAAGTTGAATGACGGACGCCTGTATAAGCTTGACATTACTAGGAAATACCATCTCAGGCCAAGAATGGGACATGAAAAAAATAAATCTTTTGAAGAAGAGGCGTCTGACTCTGTTTGTGAGCAGCATCGATGAAGAATCCAGCCTGTGCCTCAATTCCACACTTGCCATGAACTTAACGAATCAACAGGGAGAACAATACACGGCGTTTCTGTGTGTCATCGAATAGAGATTCGCACTTTCGTGAAAAGGAAGTATAGACATAGACCTCCTCTCCCATTGCCTTTCTTCTTAGACTCAATATGTAGAGATAGTACGGAGAGATGCTCTGCAGTGCAGAGTATCAACGTATTTGGAAAATGAAGAGGAGGCAACAGGCTATCCTGGCAGAAAGACGGGAGCAAAGAGGTAAAAGGAGAATGGCCCATGCCAATGGCCTTGAAATAAGACTCCCCAACTGTTGTTGACCAAGCGAGAATTGCTCCTGAAGTAACCGATTTCCATGTCGTTATCCTAAGTCAACTTGACAATTGTTTTGTTTTCAAAGAGCTAACACGTTGGTGAGTTGTGGAAGTAGAACATAAGTAAGTAACTGAAACTGGCTATCGGCATAATTGTACAGTTGAAGTGCAATCGTGTTATTACTTGATATGAATGCATTGCATCATGAACCTTGTGTGACTGGCTTCTATATGCTCTGGGTGTCACGTCATTAAGGTATATACTCTATATCGACACATCTTCTAATTCGTTGCCATCTTTCACTTTTGGAACGCCGCACCCGAAAACTCTAAGCTGCCTAGACCCAACATTCTCTTGGTTGATAGCCAAAGTTCAAAGGCCTCTAACTTGATCTCCACGCGCATGAAACCAACCCATGCAGCAAACACCCGCAGAGCATTGAGTGGCCAAAGGAATGAACCGTTTTGACCGATCTCTTCAATCTTCTCGTGGAATACGGTCTTGGTGCAATATCGTGCGAGGATCATGAACGAACGGATGGGACCTTGTCGTGTCTGGAGATTCTCGTCCAGGCTTCGAGTTAGGTCATTTGTCTTGAGAATTAGAAGGATGATACGAGGCACGCGGCTGAGAAGCTGCACGAGGTCGACAATGAGACCCTCTTGCAAAGCCCCGCTCATTGTCTTTTGCTCATCCGCCGTTCGAGTCTCGAGGATAGATCCAGACTTGCTAACAATACTGTAGTCTCGACCAGTGATTGCTGAAGCAAAGAGGGGGAAATCCTTGTCCTCTATACCGGCAACCTCATGTGCATACTTCTTCATTCGATCCATGTCGCCATCAATAACCGCAAGCCACATCTTGGCGTATGATCTCCGCAAAGGAAGCTCAATGTCGCGGTAAAGACCATGATCATATAAAATCACGTCAAAGTTAGGACCTCGTCCAAGGCCCCGGCGGGTATTGTTCTTGCGGATTGCAATGTTGCCACCGTGAGGATCACAGTGCAGGGGTGCACCATCGCCAAAGATCATTTCGTTGAAGATACGCGCTAACGTGGCAGATACTTCATCTCGGTCTATACCGTTCTTATCCAAATACTCCAAATCGTCGAGTCTGCTTCCCGCTTCGCACGCCATGACAATGATTCGCTTCTTAGCCCAGATGACCTCGGGGATAATCAGGGGTAGCTGTGGAATCTTGGCGAAGTGCTCCTTCATACGTCGGGCATTGTTGGCCTCTTCTTGGAAGTCAAGTTCTTTAGGAAGAGAAACGTCCATCTCAGAAGAGAGCCACTCAAGATCATATTCGGGGAAGAATCTTTTCAGGGTCGAAAATGTGTACCGGGTAAGCGCTAGATCCAGGGGTGCCCATGCTTCAAGCTCAGGATGTTGAACCTTGACCGCAACCTTCTGATTTGACCCCTTGATGGATGCCAGATGTACCTGAGCAAGAGAGGCAGCGCCGATTGGTTCAGGCGCGAAATCAGAGAAACAGTCCCAAAGCTCTTCTCCTGTATCTCTGCGAAACATATCCTCGATCGACTCAAGTGAAGATACAGGGCACTTGTCCTGCAGGGGGATGAAAGTGTTTGTCCATTCGGATGGTAAAAGGTAATTCATGGCGCTCTGGCGTAGTAATTAGTCCGATCGTTCGAGCTCCGAAGTTGATGGAGGTCATACCAGATGCTGACCGAGTTTGATAAAGATTCCGCCGTTCTTTTCCAGCACAACGAGAGTCCGTTCGGCGCATCGTTTGTGACATGCCTTAAGCATGCTCTCCTGGGCATCATGGTCTGCTGTCGTTTCTCTGGCGTTTAGTGTTGTTCGGTAACTACTCAACTTATTAGTTTCGCACCCCCTACACCTAATGACAAGTAAATACATACTCGTTGATACACACGGCGAGCGCAACCGCCACTCTTCCTGTGCGTTCTGCCGCCTCATAACTACTCTTGATATCGCCGGTGAATGCAAGCGCGGCCGCGCCTACAGTACCAACACCAGCCGAGGCATATAACAGCGGTCGTTTAGGGCCGGACTTGTGACCATTGTTTTTCCTCGAGCCTCTCCGCGATGCGAAACCTCTTGCAGTGAAATCTCGAAAGGGCTTACTTCGGACCAATTGACTTCTACAAGTCGAACAGGTCCATGATCGAGTGGCGATGCGATTCGCAAAGGCCGAAACAGATAAGGCGTTCATCTGACTGCCGATGGACTTTTAAGAAGGACAGATGGTATGTAGTAAAATAGAATTGTACATTCTTAAGGAAGAAAAGCTAGTAGGAATTGACACCACAGAGGCCAGGCTTAAGGTAGGCTTAATTGGATCATGTCGTCAACCAAAATCAGGTTGACAGTTTTTTTGCTTGGGTGTGCCGATTCCGACAAACCTCCGTCTATCACTCGGCTTGGGCCGGGTGCGATCTTCGGGGGCGAATTCTAGTACCTTAGTGCCTTAGCCCGGCAGTATTTTCAAGAGAGGTACTAGGTACGTCATGTGACTGCGCGACCGCGACTGTAACGCGCCTAAGGTCACCTCTTTACACGACCACGAAACCGATGTAATTCTCAAGTTGAGCTCCCTCCAACATCTACATCGTATGGGCCCTTTACAATCTCATGCAGCATAATTGCCAAAGTTGCACAGTCAGAAATATGATGTCTTTTTCTCCCGCGCCCATTTTCTCCGGTTCTTGGGATCATCGCCCTGCTGTCTCATCGCCGCTCTCCTCTTCACCTGTGCGCGCATCATCGCCACTCTCACCAATTGACAGAAACGTGTGTCCGCAGCGTCAAATTCAATCTTCTCCCATCAAGCCCCCAAAGTTCAAGTTTTCCTCGCGTCCCACTCGGCCAAACCCAGTGAACAAGAAGAGGGATGAGCTACACGAAGGAAGAAGGAAGGTCTTCCTCCAGAATGTGCGACAGAGCCGTGAAGACAAGGCCTGGCAACGTAGAGACATAGAGGGACAGGTAGGGAGAGATCCCTTCATGTATTATGAATGTTGCTAATTTAAACGCAGTTTTTGAAGACAAATTATCTTGCCGACCGAGGACAGCTGTCTCATGACGCTCCTGACATTACCGAGGCGGATATCGAGGACGCCATGACTTTCTACCAAGAGCAACCTCCCATTCCGGAACAAGACGAAGATGAAACGATGATGGATGAGGAAGAGCAGCTCGAAGCGATGCTTGCATCCTATGAGGAACAGCAACAGCAGATGGCTTCACAACGGCCACCCTCGCCTCCGCTATCAGACGAAGACTATGATGATGTCTTTGCCGAGCTCATAGCGCAAGAACAATTTAAACAGAATAAGCCGCCCCGACCCCAAGACCAGATCGATACTTCTGGAGACATTGAGATGCAATAACGTTCTTTCTTTTTCTTTCCTTTTACTCTTTCTCTTTTTTTTTCTTTCCTATTCAGAACTCTACGCGTTTGCTCGCTTGGCGTTGGGGTTAGTCGGATCACCCAGGAAGGGACACGGCGTTCAGGAAGTGCCAGTGGATGTCGTCAGATGTGCACACATATCATTTTGACAAAGGGTATATAGATGGCTTGAGGTCAATAACCAAGTTCCTTATCTACTGAGGGTTGCAGGCTTCGTCTCCTGGATTGAGGGCATCTTGTGCCGATTGCATGTCTCCAACTAGATCAGAAGGGGGTGATCCTGCCGCTTGCATCTAGACAGGTTGTCAGTGATATAGACCCCACCAGTGAGAATAACAGGTAGATGAATCATACCTTTTGCATCTTATCAACAATGAATTCACGGTCCGCCGCATTGGAATCCGAGTACGTCTTCTCTTCGAACTTGGCCACTATCTCTCGTACAATGGACTGTTGCTCCTCGTAGCGCTTCAAGTCATCCTTCGGTGTCGAGTCACGATTCTTGATAAGCCATTCAGGGAATTTCTCATCGAGTTCCTTCATGGGCTCATACAGAATTTCCTTGTTAGTGAGCTGCTCCATCATGCCCATGAGCATTTTGGAGAATTCTTCCTCGCTGCCGTCGCCTCCCAGATCACCAAGGTCGCCCGAAGACAACTGCTTGAGCATCTCAGACATGAAATCATCAGCGGATCCCGACGCAGCAGCAGCAGTAGCTTGGTCTCCAGAAGCTTGCATGCGCTCCATGGTTCGCTTGATGGTGTCTTGGAATGACGCATCCTCAGGTTGTGCTTGGGAAGAAGGCCCTTTGGAAGTGCTTGGAGGTGGTGCATCACCAGCACCTTCTGCCGCAGCGATGTGCTTGAAGATATCTTCAAACTGTGCTTGCATGTCAGGCTGTAATTGTATCAGCAATCATATTCTCGTCGGTATTGCTAGATGAAATAAAACGCACAGACTGTTCAAGTTCGCCTAGTAGATCGGCCATACCAGCCTGGAGCTGCCTAGCAAATTCATCTTCTGAGAACGCATCCTCCACTTCAGGTTGCTTGCCGGAAGCAGCGCCCTTGGGAGCTTCTGGTTTACTGGAGGCAGCAGCAGCTCCAAGAGGCTTGGATTGATCTAGCTTGACGGTAGAGAACTCTTCCAGCATATCTAAGAACAGTCAGCCGGGTTTCTTCACAGCTCTATGCCTTCTCACAGACCATCTAAATCATCCAAGTCGTCCTCGTCCGGATCTGGAACCTCGTCCATTTCATCAACGTTTATTGCGGCTTTGGGGGCTGGGGTTGGCAACGCGTCAGTCTTCTCTGCTACAGCTTCTGTCGCGGTGGCTGCTTCTTGGGAGACGGGCTGTTGCGGGGCAGCTTTGGGCGATGAGTCTTGTGGAACAGCATCATCAGGAGCAGTATCTCCGGCAGAAGCCTCGTTTGAGGCAGAATTATGAGGTTTTGAATCTAGAGAGGGAGTCGCTAGACTAGAGGCCGGAGTATGAGCGGTTGGAGCATCAGGCATGAGAGTGTGAGATGAGGAAGCAGCATCAGCATCAGCCTCGGCTTCAGTCTTGAGGTCTGTGGTATCCTCAATTTCATCCTTTTTGTTCTCTGTAACCTCATCTTTCACGCCCTCTTTAGCAACCTCTTTGAGTCCCTCCGTGGCCTCCTCCTTCAAAGTGACTTCCGTGTCTTTGTCCATGCCCATGATGATATCTGCCTCGTTTTTCCCAGCCCCCACTTCTGCCGAAGGAAGCTGATGAAGTGAGATTAATGATGGAAGTCAGCCAAGTTCAAGTTATGCCTTATAAGAAAGGACAACGATGGCGGAAGGTCAATAGAGTGAAGTTTTGTGATGTAAGGACCAAGTCGTAAGTGATTTTATACCTTGGTACGTGGGCAACCTCAGGGATCGATGCCCGCTTCCAGCTTAACTCAATGACTGAGCCGAGGTGACCTATGATGCGGCGCTAGCAGGTTCGCACCTCAAGTGGCTTGCCTTCCACTTGATTAACAAGTGCCCCTCCCTGCAGTACCTAGTACCTAAGGTAGTGGTGAGCGGTACCTAGGCAGACTATAGGATTCAGAAGGTCAACAAGCCGCAACAGCGCAAATCACCCCCCCGGACCTAGCGTGAGCGCCCTGGGCATTTAGGTGACCACTTAGCGGGGTTTGCCGGAAAGGCATCCATGCCCCGACTGGCGTCTTTCAACCAACGACAACAGGTTCTGGCCTGTGCATCGAATCATCAACAAGGCGTCGTTTCGTGAATTGTACCTCGGGCACGATTGCGCAAACGATAGGTCCCGCCTTCGAGCTGACTTTCGATTTGTTTCTTTTCGTGTCAAATATACTTCCACTCTGAAGCATTTTCCTCACCCAGCAAACCGAAAGCTTGGCCGCCAGAGCTGTGCAAGCTCCTCTCCAGGGACTTTTTATCCTGCCGCAACTCGCGTCGCACCTCAGCTTTCCGATCTCTCACACGATTCTCGATAATCTTTTTTTCTCATATCCTTCGCCTACAAATATTACCGCCCTCGTCCCACGTCTGATCGACATAGTTGAATGACGGAATCATGGCGCTTTGCCAGAACCGATTACAAGAGGAGAGGTGAGATTTATAATGCATAGTCCCCGGACTTGACTGAAATCTCAATAGGAAGCAATGGCGACGAGACCATCCTTTCGGGTTCTATGCCAAACCACAGCGTACCAAAGAAGGTGTACTCGATGTAAAAAATTGGGAATGCGGAATCCCTGGCAAAGAGAACACTATTTGGTCTGGCGGACTCTTCAAGCTGACCATTGCTTTCCCTGATGGTAAGTGCCAACCGCACGATATAGATTGGACAGCGCTAATACTTGTTCAACGCAGAGTACCCTACAAAGCCTCCCAAGTGTAAAGCCCTCTCGACCACAATGTGTGAAGGCCGCCTTGCTAATATAAACATAGGCAAATTTGTCCCTCCGCTGTTCCACCCCAATGTGTACCCTTCAGGAACTGTCTGCCTCTCCATCCTCAACGAAGAGGAGGCCTGGAAGCCTGCGATCACCGTCAAACAGATCCTTCTCGGTATCCAGGACCTTCTCAACGACCCTAACCCCGAGTCACCTGCCCAAGCGGAGGCATATAACCTCTTCAAGAGAGATCGTGCCGAGTACGAGAAGCGAGTTCGCCGTACGGTTCGAGAGAACCCCACACCTTGATGAAACGTTCGGGGGCGTTGGGAGAGAAGAAACCTTTTAGACCAAATTTTTCTTTGTAAGGCACCTCAGGCTACGGCGTTTATAGGGAAATACCAAGGCGGAAAGTTACTCAGAGTCCATGAAGTGGACTCCACGCATTACGGAGGCATGCTATATAGCACAGGATGATAAGAAGAGCTTTACAATACAGCAAGAGATAGGTGCTAGCGCAACGTCGTCAAAAAAATCCTTTTCATACTGGGCAACGAGCAGGCAGTTCACTGCGACAGTGCGCTTCTTTGAAATTCGTTAAAGTCTTCTTTTCGTAAGGAAACCATTTGTCTCGGGACTGTCGAAGAGCCACTACCCTTGTCGATCCGTATTTCTTGGGTCGTCACCGGCGAGTGAATCACTTGCGGCTGCGTTGTCGGGATATACCCGACCCACTCGGTTACGTCGCGAACGAGAGCGGTTGTCGTGCGTGTGAAAGCTGTCGTGGGAAAGGGTTGATGGGGGGAGTTGGTATGAGAAGGCCAGAGTGATATGTGTGGCGGGGCTGCGTTATATGTAAGTTTTGAAGAACAGTTTCTTTGTAAAGTATCTCGTATGTCCTGATAAAACACGTTGATCTTCATTATCGATGGCATACTCTGTATTCATAGTTTTGTTAATTTCATCATAGCCTGTCAACGTTGGTCTTGTGACGTGACAATCGAAGCCGCATGTCCGCTGTATTTCCCTTATCAAGCCCATAAGTCAAAGTTTATTCGGATTATGTAAACTGGGCCGGGAACGCACAAGCTCAAGGGCTAGACTACTTCATGCTGCCAATTGAGTCTGCTGAATTACAAGCCGAAATCGGCCGGGAGATTTACTCACACCTCAAAAATATTTTGGCTTGGCTTGACATGATTGCGCCGGAGGAGCGCAAAGCCGTTATCTCTCAGCGGACAGATTCTTCCGTCCACTTACAAGCGAGGAAGATGGGGACTCGATTTCAGTTGAGACAAACGAGTCAAGCTGCCCGGATCCTCACAGCACAAATGAACTGGCCCGGCATCTTCTCTCATGCTGGCAGGCTGGTCACTGTGGTAGTGGGGAGATGCTCATCCGCGTCCGCAGCGGAGTATGTGGTGGATAACCTTACCAAGTTAAAGACTTCCATATGATTGTATCGGCCACGGCCGTTAACCGCTAATAACCTTGCGGCTTTGAAGTATTGGTACTATCTGTTCTGGTACCCATGGAGGGCAGGTATCTTAGTACCTACTTATCGCCTGTTCTGTGCCGGCGGAAGGAGTGTGGAGTTTCTTATGACTCCTCTTTTTTCTCTCGCCCGAAACTATTGCTAAATATTAATCTTGCTTCGCCCTTTCTCTTCCTCCTACCATTCTTCTTCAAGCACTCCCCTTCGTGATACACACGTAACGCGCGCATTTCACAGCAACCGCTAACATGTGTGGTATCTTCGCCTGTCATCGGTACGCTCCCTCCCTTGCGAAATTGAACATGGATCTGTTTTGGTGGTTTGGAGGGGCATGATGACCCCGCCATCAATTGGGATTGGAATTGAAATCACCCCGCGGTCGGAGGAGGAAAAGAAGAATCATGGCATGACTAACATTTTGCGTCTCTGCAGTCATCCTGACGTGGAAAAGTTCAAACCCACGGCCCTGAAGCTCGCAAAGCAGTATGTATCACACTGGTCGACCAAGGCATAACCCTTCAAATTAACCTGAATTACGCAGAATCCGTCACCGTGGCCCCGACTGGAGTAAGTAAAAGCAACACCAATGCTGCATGCAGCCCTCACGGTCGCAAGTACTAAAGTAGAATGTTCAGGTGGAAGTGTGATTGCCAACCATACCAGTAAGCCCAATTGACTCTTAAAGCACAAAAGCTGCTGGTTCTGACTCTCTGGTTTAGTTCTCTGCCATGAGCGTCTCAGCATTGTCGGTGTTGGTAAGTCGAAAGTCTCGGGTCTAGACGCATCCTTTTTTAGCTGACGATTATTCCTCCAGAGTCTGGAGCCCAGCCCCTGACCAACGCCGACGACAGCATCATCCTCGCTGTCAACGGTGAGATCTACAACCATCGTCACATTCGAAAGAACCTCAAGGAGCAATACCACTTCAAGACCACATCTGATTGCGAAGTTATCATTCCCCTGGTAAGAGGACTAATTCATGGATAGCTTAAGGAAGAATAACAGGCTCACAATAGATATCCTGTAGTACACCGAGTTTGATACCGATTGCCCCAACCACCTCGATGGCATGTTCTCTTTTGTTCTCTACGACAAGAAGCAAGATCGCACAATTGCGGCCCGCGACCCTATTGGTATCACCACGTTCTACCAGGGCTGGTCCTCCAAGGAACCCGGAACCGTTTACTTCGCCTCCGAGCTGAAATGCTTGCATAGCGTTTGTGACAAGATTGTTGCTTTCCCCCCCGGTCACGTTTACGACTCCAAGACTGGCGAGACGACTCGCTACTTTAACCCGTCTTGGTGGGACCCTAAGAAGGTTCCCAGCAACCCCGTCGATTACAAGGTTCTCCGACATGCTCTCGAGAAAGCTGTCCGAAAGCGACTCATGGCTGAAGTCCCCTTCGGAGTTCTCCTTTCCGGTGGCCTTGATTCGAGTCTGACAGCATCTATCGCTCAGCGTGAGGTGACCAGACTTCGAAAACAGGCTCTCGAGGCTAACGGCAACGTTCTCCCTGTCGAAAACCCTGACACTGGTGAGGGTCTGGTCGGTGTTGACGATGATGATCACCTTGATACTTTGACATACCTTCCCCAGCTCAACTCCTTCTCCATCGGACTGCCTGGTTCTCCGGACAACAAGGCTGCACTTGAGGTCGCCAAGTTCCTCGGTACCAAGCACCACGTCATGACCTTCACCATTGAGGATGGCCTCAACGCTCTTTCAGATGTTATCTTTCACCTTGAGACCTACGATGTCACTACCATCCGAGCCTCCACCCCCATGTATCTCTTGTCAAGAAAGATCAAGGCCATGGGTATCAAGATGGTTCTGAGTGGAGAGGGAAGTGACGAGATCTTCGGTGGCTACCTGTATTTCCACGCTGCCCCTGATAAGGAGGCTTTCCACGAGGAGACAGTTCGCCGTGTCAAGAACCTGCACTTGGCTGACTGCCTGCGAGCTAACAAGTCCACCTCTGCTTGGGGCCTTGAAGCTCGTGTTCCCTTCCTCGATAAGGAGGTAAGTTCAGGTCTATTGTAATAGTTGTTCCCAGAAACTAAGAGTCGTAATAGTTCCTCGAAACATCGATGAACATCGATCCTCAAGAGAAGATGATCACCAAGGACAGACTTGAGAAGTACATCATTCGCAAGGCTTTCGATACCTCGGACGAGCCAGACGAACAGCCCTATCTCCCTGATAACATCCTCTGGCGACAGAAGGAACAGTTTTCCGATGGTGTCGGCTACGGCTGGATCGACGCACTCAAGGACAACGCCGAGAAGCAGGTGACAGACGAGATGATGAAGAACCC